TCTCTATAGTGGATGGAAGAGGGATGGAAGGGGTTCGGATGAATAGCATAGGTGTTTGTAAGTATGAGGTATGGATGTGAAAATGTGTGTAGGTGTATTCGAGCATTAATTGTCGATTTATAATCGGATTGTGGTATTTGCGGACACTTCAAGACGAAGACGAAATTATTGTAACTACACAATTTTTTCATGTTTGAGAGAACTATATGTATATATAAATTATTATTGCTACATCATATATCAATAATCATAAAAATGAAGGTCCTAACCATATTATTTTACCATGTAATTATATAGCCACAAATACTTTTCTCTTATAGTGTATTAACATTTCGAATATACACATTGAAATGCTTAACAGGAAAATTTGACATTGTCGCAAATCATAAGATGATTAATGAAAATTTTAAAGAATATTTGCAAAAAAACTGTGAATAAACTGCTTCAGTAATCTCTCGTTGCGTATAAGGTGAAAACAAGACGACGAACAACAGAAATCGAGATAGAAGCAAAAGGGTTAAGCGAACAAACATTGTTAATTTGCACATGGTAACCCTGTCTAAAGGCCAAAGGGTCAACATTACCACGGTTACGTGTATGCACGGTAAATAGTCTGCGCTCCTCTCTACATCCCCGTACACGCTTGCCGGACCGACGCTGAGTTTTCAGTCGACTGTAGTCTACGGGCCACCCTCTCTGACCGACCTAATTGTCTAATTGGCAAATAAATCCCATTGTTTTCCGATTATGCGATCGATAGGTACTATACTTGATTTAACGCGAGCGTTCTTTCAAGTATCTAGGGAATCGATTGTGTATTTTTATCTATAACTTTCTTTGCTTATCGTACTTTCCTCTCACATCAAGAAATACGTACGATTGGCTATGAGCATAGTGAAAATATAATTATCTATAGGAATGGTATAGACTCACGGAAGCCTGAAAATTACAGATGCAAGTGCGAATAATGAATACATTAATTTATAGTATAATTATATCGATATATCCTTGTTGTAACATTCAGAAAAAGAATGATTTTAAATAACGATTGTGTCCCAATATTGGCTGTATTTTATAGTGAATGTTAAGTATAGAATATCTGAACATGTAATTCTAGATACATTACTCACAAAATAAAAGTATATTTATTTAAAGATAAAGACATGGAAATGTATGATGTAAAGACACGAAGAGATGTATTGAAAAAGAAATGTATTGTACGAAGAGAATTTTTAACAAACGCACTATTTTATTATACTTAATTTAAGTAATAACGTTTAGCCATATATATTTTATAATCAATATCTAATAATTAAGTCGCAGATTATTAAAAACGTTTATTATATTATTAATTAAAATAACTATTATTTTGAATATTTTGTTTTTTGTTATATATATTGTATTGTTATATAAACAATCTACAGAACAGTATATGTATAGAGTCTGTATTCTGTAACTCGTTATGTAGTCGTTATATGTTCATAACGACAATTGCGCAGTTTTTTTTACTATGTAAAATATCTTCACAACTGTCATTATGAGCACATAACGATTGCATAACGTTATAGAATTCCGCTGTACCCATATTCTGTACACATCTATCGACAGTTGTCGATATCATTAAGTAGCGACAACCAATGAGAACGCTCTTTTCTTAGGATAATCCTTGCCATTGGCTATCGTTATTAGTTATCGACACAGACAACTGTCGGTAGATATATACAGATTAATATATATGGGTCCAAGTTTAAAATAAACTAATGTTTAAAATAATAACTATTCAAAATATCATCAAACTACATCTCTTCGTACTAAGAGAAAAATGTTTGATATTTACTATAGTTGCATGATAAAAGAATTACAGTTAGGAGCTCCATTTTTATGATTATTATTGCTATTGTTAGTAATAATAACCATCATGGATATTATCTCAAATATGAAAAAATTAGACTATAAATTATGATAATTTGAAATATTGATATCGTAAAATATCAAGATATAAGTGGTAAACAAAAATAAACATTTTTATTCGGTAAATGCTATCGCAATTATCGGTTGTACATATCACCGACGAGATATTATTAAAGACCGTCAATCCTGGGAATTTTCCTCACAAAAAAGATCTTGAGAGCCCGGAGGTAATTGAAGAACGCTGACATTATTGACAATTGATATAAATTTGCAATTATTTAGCTAATATACATTATTAAACTCGTGATGTTTTATTATATAAATGCTCTATAAATAAATATGCATACTTATAATGCTATAATATCTTATATATATTGTCATAAAATTACAATTTTTTTCTCTATAATTATTATTTTTATCGATGATCAAACCCGGACGATAACATTAAAATCACAATTTTAAGTAAAAATCGAGTATTATTTAGTTTTACATACATACACATATCTACGAAACTAACGCGGGGTTTGACGGACGCAAAAATTGTATCTACCTGTAGGGGTAGAAACCGCAATGGATACGCTTGTCTAGTTTGTGTGCGAAGATATTTTCAATTGGCGCTATAACATCGTATAAGCCTAATGCGCGATTGATCAAAATTCGTAGATATGCCCTAAGCGTTTCTATTGCTTTTCATAAGAAATAGAGTAAAAAATGTAATATTGTAATTTTTTGAATTCATTTTTAACATTGAGAATGACCCGTCGAAACGTTTGTTATTGTATTTCTTTATATTTATTTTTGAATATTAAATTCTTAATTTATTTTTAACTGGCTCGTAGCTCTTCTATTTATTTATATTGAATAATAATAAACTTCATCTTACGAAATTTTTTAAGTCTAGGAACAAATTAATAAAAAAGAGAGAAAGATAAAACACATTTCTTTCAAAAGCTTAATTAAAATAGTAAAACATTAATAGATAAATGATACAAAGAAACTTCATTTACAAATATAAAAATAAAATTTTTTTAATATTATTTCTTCTATTTTTATAAATATTTATAAAAATTATTTATAAATAAAGTTTCTATCTAAAAGTATATCAAAGTACACTTAATAATAGAAATTATTAAAATGAAACAAATACCAAAAGTCGATTCATTTTGCACATAAAAACGACTTTTATAGTAGTACTTCTAAAATATCTTCCTAAAATGAGAATTTCTATACAATTTGAGAAATGAACTAATGGTATAGCGAACTGGATAGAGAGACAGAGTTGAACAATTATCGAACAATAGTTTGTTAGTGAGATTCATCTGCTATATTGTTCTCAGAGAAACGTAGATTCAGCTTCAGTGCATGCATTGTTCTGTTTCCTTCTGTCAATTACATTACTACATGATACATACATCTCACAAAATACAAGACATCGTTTCAAATCTTTTATGCTATTTTTTGAACCAATCAATGTGTAACAAAGATATATATTGTATGTATAGATAAAAGTAAAGAATATAAAGCAACTAATATGGAGAATAGGGACTTATTTTTTTTTTAAATAAAGCACTGTAATTTGGCGACAATTGGTGAAAAAACTATTGCAATTGTTACTAAACGTGTCATATCTAATAAACAAAAAATCATTACTATAACGATACTTAATATTACTACAACGATATTTAATAATATGTAACGTTTTTAAATGTTTTAGCCTTAAATATAATGCCATTTTGAACAAATTGACGCTGATTTGGAGGATTCTATAATATTGATATGCTATTATGAAATAACGTTATCAATAATATTGCATTATATTGAATCAATATCTCAAAAAAAAAAAAAACGTTGAATTACAACTTTGTGAATTGTTAAACAAGCATTGCAAAAATGTTCAATGTTGAAGTAATATCTTACAAACGTTGCAATTTAATATTTGAGAACAATGATTCAACATATTTGTGTAATACCACATAAATTTCCAAGAATATTAGATCTCGTGAATTAATTTTTACACAAAACTAAACGAAAATTTCATCTTCGAGCTCTTGGATTATCTTCTAAAAATCATTTCATTAAAACATGAATGAAGAATCTCATAATGTTACGCCTTTTATCTATCCTATGCAATTTTTAAACACAAGAAAATTACTCCGCCACGTTCATTTGTATGTAATATCGCGGATTACTCCCAGGTGAGTGACTTTAATATTAATTTGTTTAATATTGTTTCAACGTTGCAACAACATTGGCAATATAAGATAATCAACAAAGATTCGACGTTAAAAAAACATTCACACATCAATATGATTTTAAGGTTTGTTCAGTGTCTCTATGTGATAACATATCTCTAATAAGCGATAACACGAGAAAAATATCAAGGCATTCTAGGATTTTTACATAAAATTTTTACGTAAAAATAAAAATAAGAGGAAGAACTTCCAATAGGCTTGATCTTGACAAATGTTATCAAAATCATGACCTTGAACAAGATTCAAGAGATTTCAGCTGAACATCTTGGATAATGCTAGCGGTACTGTAACTTTCTAACCTTATAATTCGAAAAGTATTTAATGAAAAAGAATTTTATCAAAGTGTTTGAAAGCTCTCGAGGTAAGCTACGAGAACATGTAATGAAAATGGGGAGGGGGTTCCATTTAAAAAATTCAAAATTCAAAGCACCCAAGATCAAACCAATGGTACTTTCTTATGTCCCCCTTGAAATCATAAAACTTTTGTCTAAAATATTTTTCCCTAAAATCCATTTTTCAAGAGATATTTAAGGTGGTCAATTGAAATAGACCAATCTGTACATAAATAAATGTAATTAATTCGGTAGACATTTTACTTTACAAAAAATGGTCAAAACTTTTATGTTTGTATATAAATTATTATATATATGTAGTATATGTATATTATAATTACATTCAGGATATTTACATTTTATTCGTAGCTTCTCATTATATATCTTTTTTTTATGTAAATATGTATACATTGTTTTCTATCTTATATATTTTATAATATTATTAATATATATTATTATAATATATCATTAATATATATTATTGTAAAATAATATTTTATTCTCGATGTGTGATTTTAAAAGTTTCTTGATACAACCAATAAAAAATTTAAACATAAATTTTCGCTGAGACGATAAATTGAATTACTGATCAATAGTTAGCCATTTATCTGTAATATTCTCAATTTGTTTAAAAAGAATTGGATTTCTAAGACGAACTTTCAACTCCAGTTTTCCTCCTGTTGCTTTCCTGCCATCCATAAGCTGAAATATATAATGATAAGTTCATTTTAATTTTATTTTTATTTGCACAAAAAATTTTAAAAAATTAATCATTTAATTACTGGAAAAGAATCATGTAGAGTGCATTGAGACTCTAGTGGTTGTAACTTGACCATTACTGTACCAAGTAGACTATCACTTCGAAAGAAACCTCTGTAATATGAAAAAAAGTATAATATAAAAATATTATTACCAAAAATATCGTTGGCAAAAAATTGTTTTATGTTTAGAAATTTAAGTATGTTGTTATAATTGTACAATTTAAGTACATTGTTACAAATTGCTCGTGTAATATCATAAAATTCACAATACCGTCTGCTGTATGACAAATAATTTTATATACAGAATGTCCCATTTTAATTGCTCCAGGCAAATATCTCAAAAAATATAAGAAGATACGAAACAATATTTCAGACGAAAGTTGTAGGATATCAAGGGGGACAAAGGATGCTGACATTTGTTTGACCTTGCAGTTACCTTGAAAACCCTTGTCAAGATTAAATTTAAATTTTTAAATGGGATACTCTATTTTTGATTCCAGAATCTTTCAAAACACTATAATAAAATATTTTTTCATTAAATACTTTTCGAATTATAAGGCTTGAAAGTACCGCTAGCATTAGCATTACTCAAAGTGTTCGACCAACAGCTAAACCTCTTGAATGTTGTTCAAGATTATGACTTAGATAACATTTATCAAGATTAAAAGTTGTAGCCATTGAAAGTTGTACCTCTTATTTTCATTTTTACGTAAAAATAAATTTTTAATGTAAAAATAAAAATAAGAGGAACAACCTCCAATGGCCTTGATATTGACAAATGTTATTTAAATCATAATTCTGAACAACATTCAACAGACTCAACAGATTTTAGTTGTCGATCGAACACCTTGGGTAATGCTAATGTCGACGGTATTGTAACTTCCAAGCCTTATAACTCGATTGGCGGCACAACTTAAGGTCAAACCAAATGGTACCCTCTTATCCCTCTTCAAACTTTTTGTCTGAAACGTTTTTCCGCATCTTCTATATTTTTCGAGATATGCGGCAATTAAAATGAGACACCTTGTATACACAGGTATACATTATACATACATTATACATACACACAAAAGCTCTACAAACACTAACAATCGCGCGCGCGCGCGCGCATAGAAATTTTTTTTAAAACACATTTATTTTTTATTTAAAAAATAAAGACGGCCAATATACAGGGTGTCTCGATATTCGAAGATAATATTATTTCAGCGTGAAACTTCGTAAAAAAATTAAATAATAAAAGTGCAAACCATTTTTTTCCCGTAAAGTAGTTTTTTAAGTACAATCTTTTTAAGTAAGTTTTTAAGTATAGACATTTAAAGTTTAACTTAAACGTATAATCATAAGCGTTGGTTATAAAGTCATTTGTCCGTGTGACGTGCAATTGTGTTAGATACTAAACAAAACATTGCCGCTGCATGCACGTTATCACACGGACAGATAACTTTTTAACCAATGCTTATGATTAGTCAAACTTTAAACGTTTATACTTAAGAAATTACTTTACGGAAAAAATAGTTTACACTTTTAATACTTAATTTTTTACAAAGTTTTAAGCTGAAATAATATTATCGTCGAATTTCAGGACACTCTGTATATACAAGATATACATTGTACTTAAAAGCATCAAAATTTTTCTGTGCATATATCTGCATATTCTACAGAAATATAGGGATGTCATACCTGGGATGAGTGCAACACAGGATGGGATTCAGCGAGCATCTGCAAACAACGTTCTATTTTTTGGGTATAACACTTTCATTGAATAATTTTAATATTTTATCGAGTAATAAATGTATATATGAGATATCCTCAACTAGAGAAAAAGCGAGAGATAATACAAGCCTATTTTTACAATCAACTACTAACTCTTTTTACTGTCGAAACGTTGATTATCATAAAGATAACACTAGTTTATAGCAAAGAATTACTTTGAATCAGATTAGGTGTTTCTTATAAGATTTTCGTATGCTGAAAACAATGCCGCAAGCCAAAAAATTCCAGCACATCAGGTTTCTAAGATAATTGAAATTTAATATCCAAAAATTAGCTTTCTTGACAATATTTGACATTGTTTTGTAAACAAAGCTAACGTCATCTTGAAATTTTAATTAAAAGTCATAAATATATTATTTGTTCTTTATAACATTTGCATTTTCGTTTATTTTAATATCTTTCTTTTTAGACATGTTATGAAACATTTAAATATAAGATTTCTCTAAGGCAGCAAATTTTTTAAAGTTATATACAATTTCTAGTTTGTAGCTATCGATACACAGACCATACAACTTTTGTTTAAAACATTTTTTAATGTTTTTTCGAGACATTTGAGGTAAGCAATCAAAATAAAACACATCTTGTGTGTTTATGTACCTACATATGTACATGTGCATATACATTTAGCGGAATCTATATAACGGTAAATTAAATTGTGTATCGATAGTCACAAACTAGAAATTATAAGTATGTATACATATGACTTCATCGTCATAGACGAAAAACTTGCTATTTTAGAAAAACTTAAAAGCTCTTTAAAACATAACTAAATAGTAAGATATTGTGAAATTTAAAAAATGAATTTTATAGGGGATAAACAATATATTCACAACTTCTGATCAGAATTTTAAATAATGTTATTCTTTTTTTATGAAAAGATGGCAAATATCATAAAAAAGCAATTTTTGCACATTAAACTTCAATATGCATGGAATCTTTCTTAAGGGGTTACGTCTAGTCACGAAATAAAAAAAACAAATTTTCGTGAATTTTTTTGAAAAGACGTATGTACAGTTTCGTATAAAAGTTTTTTGTATTTAAAAAAGCTTTTCTTAACAGTCTTCATGTTTTTTTAATGCAAAAATATTATATAATTTATAACAAAATTATAACAGATATTCGGGAAGTCGTTTTTCAAAAAAGCGTTTTGTGGTAAACAGTGCTGCTCGGAACCAGGTCATTAGAAATCAAAAATTCAAAAATATTAATTAATATTATGAGTTTATCTAGTCTTTAACCAATCAATATTTCGATTAGTTCAATTCCGACAAAATGGAGGCTGTTCATACTAAAGGTACGGATTTTAAAAACGGAAATTTTGTAGTCTATAAAATAAAAAATACACATTGAAAAATAATCCTTCAATAAGATTTCAATGTTTAAAAAATATACATAAAGTTAGTCCATAAATCGGGTTTGTAGTGCTTCGATGTGAACAATATTGCATATCCAAATGGCGCTAAATTAGCACAACTTTATTTAAAAACTGAAACAGCAACTTGCTTTCTTCGTCTTAAAAAAAATTGAATGGAAGATATTTCTGCCAATCCAATCGATTAGCATTTCATTAATTCTTGCTTAAATTGAACCTGAAAATGCATAATGTATGCATATATAACATTTATAGGCAAGAAACGTAAAGTTACTTCTTAAAAGTGACTAATTACTGTTACTCGTTATCGAATAAAAAAATAACCAATTAATTATTTTATGTTATTATTTTAATTATTATCGATAAATAAGAGCCCTATACGGTCGAAGCTAAATCTTAAAAAGCTTTTAAATAATTCAATCTTGAATCACTAAATATGATATGTATGTACTTGACATATATACCATAATTGTGGTATATATGTCAAGTACATATATATTATATTTAGTGATTCAAGATTGAATTATTTAAAAGCTTTTTAAGATTTAGCTTCGACCGTATAGGGCTCTTATTTATCGGTTGTGTCTCTCACATACGCGGTCTAAAAATGATATTATTGTTAATTATTATCATTATTATTATTTTATTATTATTTTAATTACTTTATGTTATTATTTTATTAGTTTATTTTTTGTTTAAATATTAATAAAAACAATAAACAAGAATGACACTAGATCAATATGTGAAAACGAGGAAGAGAAATGCTATTTCGACTAGTTCGAGCTAGAGCTTTGTATATAATATTTCAGAGTGAATTCATATATGTATATATCTACACATCCAATTCTATAAATCACACGCCTATTAAATTTTCGGTCTTGAAACACAATCCGGCTAAGATGACATTTTTCATAACAAATTTTGTAGTACATGGCATCACTTCCGCCAATAACTTCAAGATGAGTATTCATAAAGTTTATTTTTATGTTAATATATAGGTCTGTGATTAGTTTGTGACATTCTTAAGACGTCATAAAGCAGTCACAGAGCCGTATTAGCATCTTAAAATATAACAAAACAGTCTTGAAATAAGAATTATGAATACCAATCAAAGATTATAAAAACTTATATATCATAAATAGGTTCAAAAATATGAAAAGTAACGATAAAAGCAACGATAAAATTCGTTACCGTTGCCAAAAAATGTAATACGTAACCGTTATAGTTATCAAAAAAAGATAACGTCGTTACCAAAAAAAAGTAACTTGTAACAGTAAAGGCATTTAACAAATAATAGGACTCTTTATATGAAAAATAAATACAAAACTATAACAAAAGGGTAAATTAAGAGTCAGTACGTTAAAAATATAGTTTGAAAAATTGATGAAAGCATAAAAATTAAGTTAGATTATGTCAGAATATAAATATCACATTTAATTAAATAAGTTAAGTATCAAATAAATAACAGAAAATTCTACATAACAAGTTTCGGCTACACGATTGAGCCCTCTTCAGATACAATTTTACATAGATTCAATATACAATAAGTTACGAAAAAAAACGCATATTAAAAATATTCGGATGTAAAACTCTAAGCAGATCACACGCCATTCGTTAACCGTGTCTCTTGAATATCAAAAACCAGGTGTAAATTACTTTAAAATTTCTCGGAGAAAAACGGTTGTGTGTGGTATAAGCCAGTCGTAGGCACAAAGAGAACATAGCGCGCGCCACAATTAAAATATACTATCTCACACCTACGATCGTCGATACAGCTCGACACATACTGAGGTTTTTTTTCGTAACTTATTGTATATTGAATCTATGTAAAATTGTATCTGAAGAGGGCTCAATCGTGTAGCCGAAACTTGTTATGTAGAATTTTCTGTTATTTATTTGATACTAACTTATTTAATTAAATGTGATATTTATATTCTGACGTAATCTAACAGTAAAAGCGTTTCCATTTTCTGTTTATAGGATAATAAATAATAAAATAATTTACTTTTTCGTATTTTATGCTGTTCGAATAAATTAGAGTGTATTGGATAAGCAGACGATAGGTGTTATGTACGCTAGATATATTGCAGTCTTTTATTTTAAAGCTCCTGAGTACTCATTTCAGCCATATTGATGGCTGAGGTGAATATTCAGGAGCCTTAAGATCACGATTCAATAATCGTGACATCATAAGCGATATCACGATTTAATAATTGTGACGATTCAACATGGTTGTGGTGACTACACAGAAGACTTAAGGGAATGCTGGAGTTGTCCTATTTTATTGATAAAATGTGATTAATTTCGGATTCTCCAATCTTTTAATTGCATTTACACGCATATTTAAAATTTTTTCTCCACAATTAAAGTGGACAATAAGTCCACAATAAGTTATGTTATTAATTATTATGAGTTAGTTTACCTAGACAACAGCATGTCCAAAAAGAAAATATAAGATGTTTTACAAACGTCTTGAAGACGTCTTTATGACAAGAAGTCTGAAAGACCTCTTGATAAGATGTCTTCAGAACGTCTTATGTCCGCATTTTAGACATATCGAGGTGAAGTTAAAACATCGATCAAGTTCCATTGCTTCAGCACCCCTTTAAGGAGTTAAAGTGACGGAATTATCGACATTACAAGTTAAAACTTAGAGAACGATATGTTCAAAATGCGGACATAAGATACAATCATAAAGATATCATCAAAATATTTTTCAGACATCATGTCATAAAGATATTTCTTATGTCCCCTTCATGCATATTGTTTAGGAAAATATTCTGAATTGTATATATTATAAAATAAGATCCTTTTACGTAACTAAAATATATAAACAAAAAAGATAAAAAACAATCGATTTGAAAGACATTCAAAAACGTTTTGAAATAGACGTCTTTAAAACTTTTCCGAAAACCATCTTTTAGATACGAAGGTCACTTCCACTTTTTAAAATGAAATTATATGATTTTCTTTATATAATATGATTTCGTTTGTTATTCTGCATATAAAAGCATTAAGTAGAGATATCAAAAAAAACCAATAAACAATAAAAATTTTATTGGACCGTACATGTGAAATCACAACAATAGGAAATAAAGGTCCATAATGGTCGAAGCTAAATTTTCAATGCTCGAACAATTCTATGTGAATTTGTATACACTATGTAGTCATTTGAACTGCGCGCCGAATTAATTTTTTCGGACTTAGAAACGCAGCTAAATTATTGTAGTAATATACTAATCAATAAATAAATAATAAATAAATAAATACGTGGTCAATATTAAAACAGGGAAATTGAGCCTCTACCACGAACGCTCATTGTCTTTCAACGAAACTTGTCTTAAGATAAATACATTAAGAATTACAATAAATAAAAATATAAACGTTTCGACCTCAGATTAGGCCATCCTCAGTATATAAAGTCAAAATTATAAAATTCACAAACATATATATATATATATATATAAATCTAAGTTATTTCTTTTAACATGGCTACAATTTACATACGCACACTCGTTAAATTTATTTTATAAGCTTTCTTTAGTTTTTCGCATATTTGAAATGTGTCAGGCGA